CATTGGTTTGATGATTATAGGTTGAAGTACAGCCACTAAACAGTATTTGTTGGTAACAATTATCTTCTAAAAAATTTTTAAGAAATCACATATATAATATTGTATTATGTATGTGTTTTTCTATGTATATATTATTAATATGATGTGTTAATATTTACCTTGCAGATCGTTATTATTAAGAGGATCCAAAATATATAAATTACGGCTATCAGCTATTAATTCAGGCCAACAACATTGTTTAATGTCATAGACAGTATTATCAGCAGCCTATTAATTAAGAAAAAATAAATAATTATTGAAAAAAAAATTTTTTTTTACCTTTGATTTGTTTCTGGTACCACATCTACGACCTCTTTTTTTGGGATTTTCATCAAAAATACATTTCTCATTTGTTTCAATACACCTATTGCAAAAAAGAGAGTCATCTTTCTTTTCACACCTTAGACGTGCTTTACGACACGGATTGCATGCGATAGAAGCGTGTTTTCGCTTTTCGTAAGGATGTTTTTGTGGTTTTCTTCGTTGACGACGTCGAATCGGAGTAGTTTGCTGGTCTTTTTGTGGTTGTTGTCGATGGTGTGAATGTGTTTGATGTGATTGAGATTGTGAATTTGTTTGGTATGTATCTGAACATGAATGATTTGGTGATTGTGAACTTAATACAGGTTCCTGCGAGTACGGTATTTGATTATTATCCAATGGTTGCGAATTTATATTGGTCAATGAATCTATATCAACTAAAGTCCTACAATGCACATTATTACTATTTAGCTCATGAGATGGTAGATGTGATATTTGACCCTGACCTAATGATATATCAGTCAGTGGATATATATTATATGATGGATATGATATTTGATAATCATTCAATAATTGTAAATTTTCATGAGTCAGTGAATAATGACATGGTCGGAGCGAATCCATTTTTTTTTTTAAATAATTGTTTAAATTTTTTTTTAATAATTGAATAAAATTATTTTTGTAAAGAGAAATTTTGGTGCAATTTTATATCCAGATGAATTAAATGAATTCCATAAAGTAAAGTTCTTTGTTTAGCCCTGATAACAATTTGTCATAGATGCTACTGAAAATCTCGACATAAATATAAATACCGCCAATGAGGACTGAAAACAAATTATAGAGACCTTTCTTTGAAGAAATTAAAATCTCGCCTTTGAATTAAAAATCATCGTTATCATCATGTTTATTTTATTTTATATTGTATTTAT